ACTCAGCCAGTAATCGATGGACTTCTCCACTTCTGGATATGGAGCATTAAATCCCAGGTAACCATCCATTGCCATGTGGAAGTCGTAGGTCATAACATTAATAAATGTCAGATGCTCAGAAATTGCAGGAATATCGTAGGAAATGGCGGCAGACGCCTCAGAAGCTCCCACAGCGATGCCCAGCTCGAGGCCGTGAGGATCGAATCTGTATCGGAATATATATCATATTTTGTATATCTATTGTTGATTCACATTTCCACTTACGCTTCTTTAATTTCGCGTAGAAGCGTTACGAAGTTCGCCCGATCTGCTGAACTTCCTCCGCGTTGTCCAGGATATTCCCAGTCCAAGTCGAGTCCATCAAAGCCATGTTGCCGAATGAATGCCAATGTGGAGGCTACAAAGGTCGCTCGCTTGGCTGGATCAGCAGCCATGGCCGAATACTTGGTGGAGCCTTCGTTCCATCCACCCACAACTGCCAATATTTTGAGTTTGGGATTCCGTTGCTTCAGTGCGATTGTCTTGCTTATAAAGCCTGCACATGATGTATGTGTCTTGTAGATCAATCCATTGAGATATCCAACAAGTACTTACCTAGGCCATCGTCCATATCGAGCCATGTGTCCAGGGACTTGAATTCGCCCGAGTCGCTGATGCCAAAGAACGTGTAGCTAATGTGGGTGCACAGGAATGGATCGATGTTCGAGGGCTCGAACTTGCCATCTCCAGGACGATAGTTGGCCCAGGTGCCCCAGTAACAGTTGAGGATCTCTGCAAGTTTCAGCCAGATGATATTTAGGAACTAAAAACGAAAAGGGATTCGCACTTACTGTCACTGGAGGCCATCCGGCCGAGGCAAATAACAAATAATACTAAGCACGCAAGCGTATTCATGTTTTCTCTGTGAGTCGGCTCCTGCCGTGGTATCTTTTATAGTCGTTTCACTTATCAGTTCCATTATCAATTTTACTATGCATGCCTTATTTACTTATCGCTTGCCTTGCGTAGATAAAAGTTTTCTTCATTAAAAACAATGTCCTAATATATTGCATTCATTTTATAATCTCGATTAAAAATGCGCATAAATTAAATTTTGACTCATGCCAAGTGCCTACCTACATAGTACTACTTGAGATTAAGCAGAGAGTAAATCGGCTAAGTACTTCATTCCGCTTTATTAAAACAAACATACTTTAGTGATGCAGCGATTTTTGGACCCCCTGGAAATTATTTATTGCAGGCAGAAATATTTAAAAACTACGATTAAAATATGCATTATATACCCATGAGCTCAATGAACGCTATCTAGAGGGTATTTTAATATTGTCATGAAATATGATTGGACTTCGAAGAAAGATTATATGAAATAGGTCAACCTTCTTATAACGATATCTTTCCCATGAAAGCTGAGACACAACTCTACTCATCACTATATAAATAGTGAGTCTATTACTCGATCGACAATAAGACCATTTCCCGATATACAATATCACCTACAATGTCTACATTATCGTTAGGTTTAGTTTCAGTTAAGAGGAATAGCTTATTAATAAAATTGATATTCTGTCTAGTAAAAGTTTTATCAAGGCAAATAAAGATATACATTTCCTATTTAGGTACATCAAATGATATAAAATTGCATTCGTCAGAAAAAGAATCAAAATTTATCAAACATACACAGAAGGATTATATGATATGTATTATAAGTATTAGATGTAGATTTTAAGATAACTGATAAATCATTTTCTTAATATGCAGCAAGTGAGTAAGAGAGAAAATGGTAGAGAGAGAATATGAGTTTAAATACAAGGGAACGAGGGAAAACTAAGAAGAGATTAGATTATAGTGAAGTGGGACAGAGACAGATATAGAGAGAGGGGTAGAGAGAATGTGATTGAGTGAGTTAGAGAGAGAGAAAGAGTAAGAAAGAGAGAGACAGCGGATGTGAGTGTGTTAGGGTGTGAGAGAGAGAGCGTAAAAATCAAAGTGGTAGAAAATTAAATTATTTATATACAAATTAAAACTAAAATTTGCATTACAATATTAAAATATATTTATTAACATATTTATTGTATTTCCCGATTCAAAATTGGATTCCCAATGAGAGAGTCATCAAATGCTGAGCTAAACTTTGAGTAATATCATTAACTTGGTAAACAAAAAATTATGATTTTATTTCGTATCATTTATTTGATGCACATTTTACAATTTTCCATTCTTATGGCATTACCAACGCAACTTTCGGTTGATGGTCTTCAGCAGAGGGAATGACTCGCCGCAGAAGCCACGGAAGTCGTCGGTCTCCAGGGACCAGACCATGGCGCCGGCTAGATTCTTGGAGAGAGCAAAGTCCATCTTCCACTGGACACTGAGCACATTGTCGAAGCTGACCCACTGATCGTCGGAGAAGGCATAGGGCGCTGCGTTATTGTAGTCGAAGACCGTCTGCCAATTGTTCACGCAGATTTCGTTGTAGCCCAGGTAGCCGCCGTCGCCCGTAAAGGGGCCGGCACCGCCCTCGCCTCGACATGGTGCTCCGGGCCAGTTCTGAGAGGCGTCAGCTAGCTGGAAGCTGCGTCCATACGTGCCAATGCCAAGCACAAGCTTATCAGCGGGCGCCCCTAAAAGAGTTCCATTAGGTTAGACGGAAGAAATAGTCACTGACTAAATGCTTTACCGTTGTTGAGCCAATAGTTGATCGAGTTCTCGATGGCCCACTGGGGCGCATTGAAGCCAGTCTGGCCATCGGAAGCCATGGCAAAGTCGTACGTCATCACATTGATGAAGTTCACCTGCTGGGCGATATTGGCAATTTCATAGGAGCTGCTGGCTATGGACTCGCCGGCGCCCACGGCAACGCTCAGCTCATAGCCATAGGGTGCAAATCTGAGAGGGCACAATGGAAAGGAAGATCAAATGGGAGCTTAAGTATGAATTTCTGAATACCTACGCCTCCCTCAGCTCGCGCAGTAGAGTCACAAAATTGGAGCGATCCTCCCACTGGCCGCCACGCTGATTGGGATACTCCCAGTCCAGATCCAAGCCATCAAAGCCGTTGTTGCGCAGCAGGTTCAGTGCCGAGTTGATGAAGTTTTGGCGCCTGTTCCAGTCGCGGGCCATGGCCGAATACTTGACGGATCCCTCGTTCCAGCCACCCACCACGGCCAATACCTTGAGATTATGATTCTGGCTCTTCAGGCCAACGGCCTGGCTGATGAAGCCCAAGTCATAGTCCAGCCAGGTATCCAGCGACTGAATCTCGCCATTGTCATTGATGCCAAAGAACGAGTAGCTCAGGTGGGTGCACAGATTGGGATCGATGTTCGATACATCGAACTTGCCATTGCCGCTCCGATAGTTCGCCCAGGTGCCCCAGTAGCAGTTGACAATGCCTTCAAGAGAAACGTATATGGGCTCATGACTGATTAGCTTGCCCTGCGGCACGCCCACTTTTCACTTACGCTCGCCCGAAACGAGAGCACTCAGGCCGAGAACGACCAGCAGAGCTATTAGCTTGTTCATTTGGACTGCCTTGGACTTGGACTAACTTCTGGTAGTTGCTGCGACTGTCACTTTTATACGCTCTCCTTATCACCAGCTCCGAGGCAAGGTGACATATTTATGCCTCCACTTGAGCTCAAGTTGGCGCAGTGAGTGCATTTTACTTGAAAGCCCTAGTCGATCGTTCCACTTCAAACAAATTAATAAACAAAACATTACATTAATCGTCGGTTGCCATGGCACTATATACTATTCTTCAGTTGAATACTCCAAGATTTCTTAAATTCAAATTAAAAGTCAAATAGCAAGGGGTTTTGAAAATCCTGCAGGGTATTTAGTAGTCAATCATTTATGACAATTTACTGGGTTTATTAAGAATTCATTACTCTCGCACTTACATGAGTAGAGCTTATCTAACCCAGGATAATAAATAGGTAATTACCAAGAACTAAAGAACGATATCAGTGCTTTAAGTACAAAAGTAATCAACCGATGTAGAAGAGGCGTGGCAGAATCTACGCTTCTTCCAGTATTTACATTATTGAACAAAGAGGCGACTTGTTAGTATTTATATTATTGTTATTATTAGACTTAGTTCTGTTCGTCTGTCTGTCTATTTATATAGAACGCCTCAGTCTCAGGATCTATAAGGGCAAGAGCTATAATTTTTTAGAGGCATATGATTTTGGGTTTAGTTGCTCTCATATCAATTTTTCTTCATTTCATTCAATTTCGCCGTTTTATAGTAAAGACTATATACCAAAAGTATTGTATTTATATTTTGTATAAGGTCATGGTCTCATTGAGTCTATACTGAGTCACTCTGACTAACCAGACTTTCAGCTAATGAAGTAAATAAAGTCTCAGTTTCTCTTAAACTTTAGGTTTATTAACAATTCAGGTTAATTTTGCAAAAGTTCCAATAGAAAACAATAGATAAAAGCAATCGCTACTCGATTTCGAGATTCATTAACAATACAGAAATACATTTGACAAGAAATAAATATATAGAACCAAGTATATTCAGCTGCCGGCCGTTGGAATAGCGATTGTTGCGTTAGCTGAATTCAGTGCGTGCGTCTCAAGGCATCGACCAGGATGTGCGACTATTCGATATATGGTGGCCTCTGTTCCGGAAGCCGTTCTAGTTGGAGACGTAGATTTCGAACTCCTTGTAGGCCAGCTCCTCGCCGCCATAGGGTATGTAGCAGCAGCCGTGCGATGGCTGCACCTTGCCCACGGTGACGGTGCCGTCGTGAGTGGCGCGTCCGATGAAGAGGGGCTCGCCCTCGGACGTCTCGCCGGCGGGGAAGGCATTGGGTGGAATGTTACCGCCCTCGACGGGCAGCCAATTGCCGCCGGCGGCGCAGAGCACCTCGTACTCGTTGTGGCCGTGCTCGCCGCCGCCCCAGGCGACGTAGGTGACGCCGTGGGATGGATGCAGCTTGCCGGGAATGAGATCGCCCTCGTGGCGGGCGCGCGCAATATACAGCTGCTCGCTGCTATCGAAGCCGCCTTGCAGCGCATTCGGGGGCACCTCGCCATTGGCGGCGGCCACCCAGCAGCCAGGACCGCTGCCAGTGGGTTCCGTGAAGCCCAGGACGGGTGCTGAGGGTGCGACCTCTGTAAAATTGCAATTGAAATTGAGTTGGACTTCACTAAATGCCGAGCGCCGAGTGCTGAGTGCTGAGTGCGCTTACCGTCTATCAGCCAGGTGCCGCTGGCACCCCAGCCGGTGCAAATGCCCACATAGTTGACGGGGAACAGGGAGCCGGCATCGTAGGACAAGAATGCCGCCGCCTCGCCCTCGTGTCCGACGGTGATCACGTTGTCATACCAACGCACCCAGAAGCCACGGAATTCGCCAGCATCCAGGATGCCGGGTGTGGGCAACTCGGCCACCTCCGGCTTTTGGCCATCTTTGCGTATGACGGACTTGCTGTTCTCCCAGCCGCCCAGGAAGATCTCGTAAATGGGCGGGGTAGCCTGGGGCTCAGAGGCGAGCACCAGATGGGCATCCTTGGACGAACGCACCTTGAACGTGAAGAGGCCACCGCTGGCCGGAAAGAATTGGTATTCCAATTTATCGGGTGTGTTCACTTCTGCAAAAGAAAAACAACAAAATATATTTAGAAATCACTAAAAATAAATACATACATATATACATATATATATGTATATGTACAATACATTAAATGGAAACATTCCAAAATCAGACATAATTTTTAATTGGGAACATCAAGAAGACAGCTGGTGAATGAAATAACAGTACAGGGTATGCGAAGGAAGTAAGAGAATAAATCAATATCAGCAAACAATATAAAAATAATTTAAGCATCTTATTAAACTAAAAAAATAAAAATTATATACGTAATATTTAGTTATATTATTCGCTAGGGTATCTGCGAGTCGTCTATTCTGTTGTTGTTAGCGAAAATAAATTTCAATTAATTAAATTAAATCAAAATAATATATGAGAAGAAAATAAATATATGTGGTCTAAACATTTTATTTTGTTAGAACAAGCAATCATTCATTCAATATTGTATTTAGGGTATCTGCTAGTCGTCTACCCGCGCTGTCTGTAGAATCTGTTGTTATTGTGGGATGAGCAAATAAACGACGCATTTGATTCGCATGATGTCATTTTGAGTAGTGCCGGTCGCTCACAGCATTCTCTAGACCTCAGGCTATGAATCACTCAGAGAGCTCAGCTCTACTACAGTGAAGCCCGCCCTCCCGCTCAGAGTGGATCGGAGGCAAAGCTAACTGCTGCTCGCAGACACCAATTAGATGTTTGTTTGAGGAACGTTCTCGCTATCCAACTATATGTATATATCTGGCTCTGTTTACATACATACAACGTTTGAAAAGCAGTTGGCATTCAAAAATAACTATATGTAAATATAAAAAACAACATATATATGTATTTATTTATAGATATTTGTGTTTGTGCATTTGACTTCTATATGTTTGTGGCATGGTAGAATGTTTGTTTTTGCGAAATTTCACATCACTGCGAATGACATCATTTCTCTGCACCGCGAGGTCAAGACAATAGACAATTTTTGTTGCTCAATATTGATTATTGCCAGGGTTCAAGGAGGCGATAAGAAAGTAATTTTTTTAAGGTCAGCCCAATTCCAGCTGAGATAACCAGAATTCGAATAGCTTTGCAAATTATTTAGACTACGAATTCAAAAGTTATTATCTATTCGATTGTTAGACCTTACAAATGATCCAGCAAATGCAGTCTTTTAGAACTTTTACCACTTTTCTTAACTTTGATTTGGGGCAATGCCCCTATAAAAAAAAAAAAAAAAAAAACTATAGAAAAAGCTGACGAGTATTAAGAACTGTTAACAGCACAACACTTTTCGGCATTTCTCTGCTTGGTTTTATTGGACATAGGCCAAAATAGCAACAAATGCGGATGACACACAGAACGAGAGAGAGAGAGAGAGAGAAGAAAGAGCTGTCACAACCGGCATATTAAACAGTAAATCCACTGGTCCGACCGCAAATGTATTTATTTTGAGGTCAATCTCTTATGCTTATTCAATTATCCATTGACTGCAGCCCAATTAGAGCTACGTCACGACTCACCAATTGGCATGGTTGCTTCTTATTTGATTCGACGTTGTGCGCTGATTGAGATTCTGATTCAAACTGACTTGGCGAACGATTCCACATGCGAGGTAAACACCTGCTTAAGAAGACGCGCAAAGAGACAGGCAGAGAGTGGGCCAGAGAGGCATGGCAAAAAGCTCTGAGAGCGAGCTTTTCTGTATGGCAAAAGTACAGTAACAATGCGAGCCAGTGTCTCGTTGGATCGGGCTGCGCGAGGTTGGGGGATCGTTGTCTCTCGACTGCTGGTTAGACTGTACCCCATTACATACATACATTTCCAACCTCTCCCAATTCGCAAGGCAGTAAATCAAATACTTTAACGATTTTTGGGGCAATGCACAAGAATAATCAATTTTGTCGCAGGGTGATCAGATCAAATGTCATTTTCTTTAAATACTTTTTCTAGTATTTAAATGGTATTTTTTTATGCATGCAAGTTTCGTTTGAAAAATAAACAGCTCTAAAAAGCCGTTACTTTTAATACTATTTTGTTAATTTACTAGTTTCTTAAAATAAGCTGAAATCACAAGTCACAAATATAATGTAGTTAAGCCATAACAGTTATTTTTAGGCATTTTATAGCTGTGCTAAAGTAATTAGTAAATCACTTTCAGAATTTTACAAATATCATACAGACATATGTACATATACTTATATATATACTTATATTTATACATTTATAACTTGGTCAATTAGCAGCGCTTTAAACCCAAAATTTCGGCTTAGAAACAGTTCCATAGACAAGTGACTATACCTTCAGCTAGAGTATTGACAATATTTTCAGTCACAAGGTTTAAATACTATAGGTATATTTGTAATGAAAATTCCAGATACTTCTATACGTTTTCTCACAATATTCAAATATTTATTTTGAAGCAAACATGTTTATAAGTTTTTAAAAAGCTCCTGCTAATCCGAAGCTTTCGCTTCTCAAGCTATGCAAATTAAATTAATATGTCGTCACATGTCGGTTTTATTGTATTTGTCATGCCAAACACTGGACTGAGGGAGATACGTCATCGATGTGGCACACAATCGAGCCGTCTTTTAAATATTAATAATAATTTATTCAGTTTCAATTGAATTCATATCATTAAATAATTTATTTATTGAACATATCTATTTTTAGATCATGGGAATATTTTCTGACATATTACAAGTATGGAGAATACTTGCAAGAATTAGATTAAAAAAAAAAAAAAAAATTGATAAAAAAGGTCTAAAAATTTACATATAATAATTAACTGAGGTGACAGAATTAATTATTTTTTTATATATTTTGCAAAAAAAGTATTTTCTTATTCTTGTTTATCTAATTTTATTGATCAGTGTAGTAAACTCTAAATCTTCTATAGTCTAATTTCAAGCACGTATTATCTACTGGTTTTGGGTATGCCAACGTTATGCTGCCCAAAATTTCATCATGGAATACTACTGCTACGTGGCCCAGTCAAAGGCGGTTTAAAACTGGACTTAGCTGACTCACATATTCGCATAGTTATGGTGATCTATAGGTACATGTGTACATACCGATGCAGACATATATATGTGCACTCGTAATGCTTGGGCAGTTAGTTTTTTATATCTTTTGTATTTTGTCATAGCCCAAAGAGATCTCACCCACAAAATGAGCTCATACAATACTATTTTGTATTCAATTATACAGGGTGTGCCAGCTGAGATCGTTTGCCATTTGAAGAACTGGCGAATATACATACTGTTATAGTAACTCACATCACATACATACAAACAATTGATATAAAGTTTCATCTCTTTGAACTAAAGCTAAGTTTATTTCAGTTATTGTAGCAAAGCAGTTTTTCCACATTTACTATATCAAGTGTACGTTAATAGGAAATATCTGACTAGAAAGTGCCCTAACTTTTTCGATTTGAGTAGAAAAATGCGAAGCGATCTTCGAGGAAAGAAACTAGAAATGGCTATACTGATTCATATACTCTATGGCATTTAAAATTTGTATGTCTCTCACATATACATATGCACAGCTCGCTTGCTTAGTTATATACTTCCTCAGTTATATACATACTTACAAATAGAATGCATAAGCAGTCGCAAGTAACATCATCTCTCAAGTTTTATTTCTGTATAATCTAAAACAGTTAAACTACAGTAAACTCGAAATGCATGAAACTTGAGCCAATCGCACTGAATTTGATATCGTTAATGCAGTTGAATTTAAAACTAGGGCCATCAGAATTCCAACCATCTCCTTAGTTGTAATGGAGTTAATACTTACCAGAAATTGTAGAATTTATATAAAATTATAAACTTGATCTAAGAGAAATACTTTGTTATTCATAGAATACTTTGTTTGTTTGCTTTTTTACATTTGAACGTAAAGAAGAGTGCATAATTTTAGGCAGAATTACGAATTCGAATTGGTGCTGAAACTTGATAGTGCTACTAGAGCACATACTACATATTCGTGGGTTCCTAAAAATAAGTACAGATTACTTCGAATGAAATATATGTAATTTTTGTTTATCAAGTATATATTCTGTTCTCTTCTACCATTCTTATGAATTAAGTAGAATTAATGTAATCAAAACTCTCGATATATTTTATTAAACGCGACATTTCGCTAAGTTCCTTAACTTTGTATATTCACAGATGTACATACATATGTTTGTTTTATCGAATATCAACTGTATTTTCTAGTTTACCATTGCAATTCACCGTTATAGTTTATACATTCGCTTCATCTTTTGCTTCTGTCTTTAGTTCTGATTCGTTTCGCGGAGTATTGCGAAAATTAAATGATCAAAATATTATAAAATTTACCATAAATTAGTGAAAGTGAATGGTTCTTTTTGATATAAAGTGCTGAGATCTAAACAAATGTCAATATTGATATTAGATTTAATAAATCAAAAAATGAAAGAATCTTGATAACATATAAAATACTCTAGCTAAGCCTATATACATATACATACGTTGGAATTTAATAGAAAGAAGCTGGACTCCCAGTCCATGTGTGTGTGTGTGTGTGTGTGTATTTATTGTTATATCTTCAAGGAAATAATTGAGGAATGATTGGAGTAATGGTATCTCCTAGTCGTGCCCTTCCATCTTGGGCAGCCTCACTTGTTCTGGTCCGGCTTTATGAATGTAATATCAAGTTACTAGAGTGCACTATGGAGCGCTGTGATGAATGGCTTTATCTTAATAATGGCTATCAGGGAATGTACATAAGAGCCCCATATATTATGTAAATATATGCTACAATCAAGAGGCTTCTCTAATGTCGACTGCACTTATACGTATAAACTCGAGTAAACACACTTGTTTAGCCAATTAAATTGCTGACCCATTTGTAAACAAGTTAATTGCATTTTATTGCACTTTCCATGTTGTTTTTGTTTTTATTGTATTTACTATGCTAAATAGTTGGCGATTTCTGATCAAATAATATCAATAAAATAACAAATTCTTTGCAATCTTCTAGCATCTGGGTGAAATTTAATTAGGTTTTGCAATGTCATCATCAGAAAAAAAAATTAAAATAATACGAGGAATAATCTAAAAATAAAATAATCTAAAATTTTGATACTTTTTTTAATTCACTATTTAATACTTGTATTTCTTGTACTTTAACTTTTACATAGAGCACTACTATTTCTGTGTTTCACAAAACATATTATAATTATATTATATTTTATTATAATATATTAAATTTCTTACTTCTCTTCTTTGTGGTCTATTTTAAGCAAAAAGCTGGTATTTTTTTGCAAATCTTTTACTTTTTACCTGGTTTAAATTTTGTGTAGTGCTGTATAGTTGCTTATCATGAACTCAGCCGTATATCGTGCTCACTTACTGACCAATTGAACTTAGTGCGAGCATCTTTTGTTCTAACTAAATTAATTTAGACTATTCATTTCCGGCATGGATTCGCACAGTTCCCTTAATCTGAAATCCGAAATGAGCCAGCGCCAGTGGATGAGCGCAGTCAATTTAAGTTAATTCAGTTCTTTGGACTGACGCAACAATAACCCCAATTCGAAACAACCTCCACTACGCTTAGCTATAGTCACTAAATGGATATATGTATACTCTTTCTGGGCTGAGAGAAAAGTCACTGAACCATAAGAGAGTTTGCACGTCATTCGAGATTTTCTCAACTTTCTGCGTTTGTTGAGTAAAATTTATTACTTCTATATTGCCATCTCTATAACTTCTTGATTGAAAATTAATTTATGTACTCTACTACTATATGGTATATGTCAATTTTACTCGTGTATATATAAAATTATAGATCTTGGATATAAGTTATTATCATCGAATTTGAGAAATAATAATTATATAATAATAATATAGACTATTCTTAGTACTACATGGATAAGCAAAACTGTATATGTGTGTAATATACATATACAGGCAGAATATACGTACATATGTATATGTATATGTCTCTGAAGAGACGAGCCCCCACAAATAGCAATCTGATATGATGTGAATTGCTGAGAGCAGAAATTATCAAACTCAATAAGAATGTAGAGATTTCTGTTTAATCTTCTGAGGTATTAAACAACCTGATTGATTGGCATTTATATTACGATAATATCTACTCAAAGTCTTGCATCCAAAGGTCAAGTGCGAAGGTCAATGCTTTCTTCCCAAATGCTTTGGAACCGGTTTGCTGCGGGGGGCCAAAGCAAGGGCACCTTGAAATTGAGCCAAACCGAATATCTACCAAGAGTACATATGTATATTTACCTACACACGTATGTGTATGTCTATATGTATGAACATATGTCATTGTGTAAGCTACGCATTCTCTGAGAGGGTGTGAAGACAAAATTGTCATAGAGCTAAACATTCTGTTTGGATAAATAGGGTCCGCTTTTATCGTCAACATACCAAATTTCAAATACAGCTGTGAATTGCATCAGCTTCAGCAGCGTTCTGGAGGGATATCTGGGGCAGAGGGCGCATCAAGAGGCACCGCTACCGGCTCACTACATGCAAAACAGGCCCAGAGCGTGTCTGCTCTCAGTTTTGTTAACACATACAGTGGATATGTGGACTTGTCTTTTGCACGGGGTATATTCGACTTGTATTA